TAAATTTTAAAAGAAAATTCTCTCCGTGTATTTTATGATATCTAATACTATAGTTTACATTTAATGTGTAAAATGATATACATTTATAATTACATTTTCTAATTTTGTTATTAATTAATTTATGATCTAATGTTGCAGTTGCAGTTGTTTTCCTTGCAAATTCTTCATCGCGATAATACGTTCTCCGCAAAGAGTCTTACTATGGACGCGACGCTTCTCACTGCGGTAAATTATTATTCATTATACTTCATTTGTTTTTACATTTACAAAGTGATTTATTCATATTTTTAATTTCATTTTAGATAGTAGGTAGCGTCAGCACGTATTTATTAATCTTGATACAATTTTTAAAAATAAAATACTATTGCGATGATGAAATTGCCAGAAATGTTACACAAATAATTCACTGAAATGAAAAGGTATTGTAATCAAATGAGTAAATATCTACTTTAATAATAGAAAATGATATTTTTTATTAGAATGTTTTAATAAAATACACACGCATATATATGTATATATATATATATATATGTGTATGTAGAAGTCTTAATTTATACTTATTTATTGATATTTATATCGATTTATTTTAACTTTAATGTAAGTGCAATAAAAAAGAGATTATAAAACGAATCTAATTATATTAAAAATGAAAAAATTTTTGTTAATGTATCTCCATAATGTTTTACATGATACATTTAAACAAGTAAATCATGTTAAATTGTAATTATACTTTATGCTATTTGAGTATTAACATCTAGTTGCAACTTAACATGTTTTATTTATCATCAATGTTTTAAATGTATCATGTAAAACATTCAGATTTATAAAAAAAATTTTATTTTTAGTATAATTAGTTATATATAATTTACACTTTTATTGCTCTTACATTAAAGTAAAACAAATCAATATAAATATCAATAAGTCAATATTAAAATTTCTAACGCGCAAAAATATAAAAAAATCTAACGGGCTGCTTAAACTGTTACTTGGAGATATTTGTTTTCTGCCATCCATTTATCAACAAAAAATTTAAGGCAATTAATTTAATTTATGTATTATTACAATAATGAAATTCATGTGGTATATAAAATCCGATCTCTACCATTCTTAAAATACAAAAATTGATTTTGTTCTATTAATTTATGTTGTCTGCAGATCATGACGTAAATGTTAACAATTTCATCTGTCAAGATAAAAAGTCGACTAATTCTAATCTAGATAATAGTGTTGCATTTGCATTATAGCTTGATTTCATTTCACGATATTACATTTGTTATTCACGCCTTTCATACACAATATTAATGTTTCGCAATATGTACGTAATTTAATGGTATTCTTGTACTTAGCGTATTTTAACGATATTCATGTACAACATCATACACGATACGCACAATGTACGCAATATTATACATAAATTATAAGTTTGATACGAATATTAAAAAGACAAATAATGTGAGTTAATTTACTCATTTGCTGCGTGTTTAATATCATATATTTAAAAAATGAAAAAGTGTAAAATCGTTTTATATTTGAATTGTACTAATATATTTATATTAATACAAAGAATTTTAATAGTTGTTAACAAGTGCTAATAACAATTTATGTTTATTAAAATAATAAATTAAACAAAACTTTTAGTTGTTGTATTAGACATTATAAAGATATAATAATAATTGTCGATCAGAAAACATCAAAGTTACTTACAATATCAATAAATGACACCAGTGTTTCAAGGCAGCAACTTGAAGATTTTGATTGAAATCCTCTGACAGATTAATCAAAATATCAATCTCGTAGATTAATCGAAAATTTATGTCGGTTTACGCATTTATTAGAATTCAATCTACTTACGTATTGTCAGAAAGAAATTTTCGCAATAAAATTAATATAAGTATAAACATTAATCATTTTTAGACAATGCAATACATGATATAGGTTGTTGTATACACACATTCCGCTGATAATGCTCTCAGTTTGTCGATAAAATTCTAAGTATAAAAAGTAAAAAAAAAAAAGACAAATATTCCATGCTACGGACTTTCAGTCGCTGATGCATCCCTGCTTTATCTTTTGCAGCATTATCAGAATATTTCCATATAAAATCAACGATTTAACTTTCGACACTTCTAAACAGTATATTACCAGCTGCCATCTTTTGTCCTTTCTGCATTTATGCTGCTAGTGCTTTATGAGATTGGCATTGCAACAATCAAATTCAAAGGCATAGAGGAAACCAAGGATGAAAATAACATGGGACAAATGTAACGTTGCATGCCTGTATCTAAAACAAATAAATGAGTTCAAGCATGTTTTTATATGTTGACTGCTTTGGTTGATTCTATTCAAGTAAAGCGTGAGACGTTAGGTTGATCGATTATTTGTATAATACGTTTATGCTAAAAAATCACATAAAAAGTAATATCTCAATTCAATATTATTTTTGTAAATACTATATTAATTTTATTTATATAATTGCTAATTATTATTGTTTGTTAATTACACTATTCGTGTATATAATAACAGGATAAAATTTATTTTCATGTTTAACTTTTGTGTATATTCAAAATATTTATAAATATATCTGAAGAAATTCTATCTAGGGAAATAACACATTATTGTTACTTTTGTGCTAATTCAAAGATCGATTAATTGGAAAGTCAAAAAAAGAAAACACGCAAGAAAATGAGCAATAACAACTAATACATCTACAAAAATAAAAATTAAAGTCGAAGAAATGAATTTAATACAAAAAAAATTTGTTAACGGTAAATGATAAAAAAACAAAAAATATCAAGAAATGAATCAAACAAAAAGAAAAAAGAAGAAAAATTGATTCTTTTCTAATAAAAACGAGGTTAATTGTTTTTTTCTTCTAGTATTTTGAATTTTATTCCAATAATCGCTCTAAAAAAATGAATGCAGTGCATGGAATGTCCATATAATATGTCTATATAATTGACATATTATATGGACATATAATATGTCCATATAATTGATACAATACTTTACATTGATATTTGTTATTTTGACTTTAAGGGTGATTTAAAACTAACATATAAAATAAGTAGAGTACATAGAAGAGTAGTTGTAGTAACTCGTAAGAAAATATTAATAAAACATTTTGATTATTTTATTGAGAAATATAGATTAATTGAAACAATTGTGTTAAAAACACTCAAAATAATATTTTATTTTTAATTGACATGTGCAATTGTTAAGTTAGAAAGGTGACATGAATCTAACACATCAAAATGTTACAAAAATAATAACATATCAGTTGTATGTTTATTTTACATTGAAGTAATAATTAGAATGTGGTAACACGAGAAAATTTTAACATATGGATGCACGATTTTTTACTGTGTATTGTACGTTGTAAACTATGCCATATGTAATTTTCAAAAATTTTGTTCGTTATCACTATAGATCGCTTATTTCTTCTTGCAATTAAATCTGAATATTTTATTTATATCTATATGTAAATTTACTATTGTTAAATCATAAAATATTTAAGTATTATTCAAATAATCCTTAAAGTTTTAATATATAATCTAAATGTGTATTTCACATTTAAAAGCAAAATTGGCTTAATGTCATTACGACGATTCATTAAATATTATTTTTGTATATTTTGTTTCTATAAAAAAATAGAAGTGTTTTTAATGTTTTATGTAAATAATATATTGATAGTTAATTAAAGTTGATAATAATATAAAAGTATAAAAAGTAAAATAATAAAATTTTCAATAATTTTGAACTACATGTAAATAATAATAATGTAATCTTCTTACGGACTCTCCCAAATTCAACAACAAAAAACTTCGCCCTGGTTTTGGAGTTTTTTGTTTTTGAACTACATGATTATGTATATTAAATAACACGTTATGTATATTAATATTTAATTATATTTCTATGTATCTACATAAATATATTGCTTTTTAATTTGTCTATAGCATTAGAATACATTTTTTCTTCATATTATTAATATTTAATATTTTATTAATTATTTATTTAGCGCAAGAAAGCAAGTCATATGAACTATAATACATGTTTTGTAATATTAGTTAAGTAACAATTGCTACATTTTAACTCATAATGCACGAAGGTAATTAATTATCCGATCGAAGAACACCATGGTTACTTTCTACTAACAAATGACATTAGTGTTTCAAGGCAGTAACAACTCGCAGTTATTAACTGAAATGCTCTGAGTGTAGATCCAAGAAAAGTCTATGTTGGTTTATGTATTTATTAGAATATATATTTAGAAAGAAACTCTGTCGCAATAATACCAATACTATAATATAAAAATTAATCATTTTGTGCAGCATAGCATATAATGTAAGTACTGTATCCTGCCAATAATGCTCAATTTATCGACAAAATTCCAAGGATGCACCAAGTATACAAAGTGGAAAAAATGGCAATTGTTTCATGCTACGGATTTTCAATCATTGATGTATCCCTGCTTCACCTTCTGCAATATTCTTGGAATATTCCCATACAAAATCAACGGTTCGACTTTCGAAACTTCTAAACAGCATTACGTATTATCAACTGTCGTCCTCTGTATTCTCTGCATTTACGAGTTAGAAGTGCTTTATGAGATTGACATTGCTGGAACGATCAAATTCAGAGGAATACCTAAGGCACTTGAGCGTAACTGTTTTTATATACTCGGTAACTTTATCGCGGTCATTACATACATTTTAAGCGGTCGTCGAATGCACTTGCTCCAGACTATAATGAATATCTCCTCAAAATTGCCTACAAATTCATATCAAAAGCTGTCTAGATTAATCCATGCTAAGGATATCTTCGGTTTCATCTATTTAATCGGACTAACGATGTTCTATTGTTATACGTTGGATTCCAATAATTGGCACAGAGCGTTTGTACCGTATCTTAATCTGATAGTGTTTCAGATGGATATGCTATATATGAATTGTGTTTGTGTATTAAAAGCTTGTTTCAAAAGAATTGACGATAATCTGATAAATCTGCAAAAGCATGTGATAAACGATAAGCCATCTCTCCTGAAGCGAATCTATTACGAGTGTAGAAATCCATTTCTATTAATGGAACTCAATGTTTTAAAGAAACAGCATCTGGTGATCAGCGATACAGTGCAAATGCTAAACGTGATTTTTTGTCTGCAACTCCTTGCTACTACAGTTATGACATCTACCGAACTCACTTTCTATCTGTATTTTTATATAGTGCATTGGAGAAGTGGCACGTTAATGAATCATCTGGGCAACGAGATTTATGATATATATTTGTTAGTGATTATGACATATTACTCTATAAAAATAGGGTTGATGGTATGGGCCTGTGAAACCGGTAAAAACCAGGCCACGAAAATTGGCACCACCGTTCATGATCTACTTAACAATATTTCAAATGCGCAAATAAAAAACGAGGTAATTAAAAAAAATATATCTTTAACTAAAAGAAATCTTGCACAGTTAATAATGGTAATTTCATGTTTAACTTTAACCTCACATATGTTACAGTTGCATCTGTTTTCCTTGCAAATAATGCACCGCGGAAATGCATTCTCCGCGAAGGGTTTTGTTATGGATGCTACTCTTCTCACTGCAGTAAGTGAGCGATTATTTGCTTCTTAATTCAATACGTATTGTTTACTTTCATAATTTTGATTTTAGATAGTGGGTAACGTAACTACATATGTACTAATTTTATTACAATTCTTGCTTACCACACCAGTTTGCAACGGAGGGTTAGCAAGTAATGACACAGAAATAATTTTCTAAGGAAGATATTAATTAATAATAAAAAATATATTATTAAATAGCAAAAATATTCTTTTTTTTAGTGTTATAAACGTAACTTTATTATAGTGTTTTGGAAAGCTCTCGAGATAAGCTACAAGAATATGTAATAAAAAATAGGGTTTCCATTTAAAAAAACATTAATGACCTTGACCTGACTTTGACAAGATCACTCAAGGTGTAGTCCACATTTCCATCATGTGTTCCCCTTCAAGCCATACAACTTTCGTTCGAAAAATTTTTCAATAAAATGATCGATTCGTGAGATAATTGACCAT